TTGGCTCGTTAGAAAACGAGCCTAACGAGCTGAGCCCAAAACGATCTGAGCCAAATGAGCCGAGCCCAAAATAATCCGAGCTGGCTCGTTTGACACCCCTAGTCTCCATGGGTCCCACGGGACACTTAAAACTGTTTAACCTTTCTTTTTCGGTGTCATAATAAAAAAAAACGTACACCTCGAAGATTCCGTGATGCCACGGCTGATTTGTCCTTCTTATATCTTATTTTTGTTACAACTCTCTTTAATTTATATATATATCATAATTATTTCACAATTCAATATATAGAATATATAAATGTTGGAAGATTCCAAGTGTTAGGCCCAACATCGACAACCCTACAAAGGGGCTCATTTATAAATGTCTGTTCTAATATGAAGACCCATATATAATCATTGGGTTTTTATGCAGCTAGTTTTGGACTTTGCGTGCCACATTGGTCGGGTGGAACTCTTCTTTTCCATATATAAAAATAAATGTTCTGCATATATATATATGTATGAAACTACAGATGAAAATCAGGCCATATATCACTCGGTTCAAATGCTGTTAAATTTATTTTACGTGAAGGACTGTATAATAAAGTCCTAAATCTTATCTTATGTATCTTAAACTCGTGATTTTCACGTCTAAGGCCTAGATTTTTCCGTGGGGGTTATGAGAAATCAAATCAACGTCAAACTGTATAAACTTCGTCGGACTTTTGGGACCGGCCGCCTTAGAAGTTTCAAAGTCAACGCTTTCCAAAGTGTTCTTGCAAGAACATAATCTCATCGTCTGTAATCTAATCAATGCCGGTAATGGACAAGTAGACTTAGGATGGATCTATCCATGTAGTACACATTCAAACGTACAATTTATAGAAATCATACAATATTTTTTAGAAATCATAAAACTTAAACCGATCTTATAATTTAGATATTTGTAGATTTTTTTTAAAAAATATTAACATAATGGATGACAAATATATCTTATTGTCCATAAATCTAATGGGTCTCCATCCTCTATGAATGCATGTTTTTGTTTTATATACTTCAATCCTACACAAATATACGTACATACGTTTTATTATAATATATCAACTATCATGAAAAATTATATGAAACCAAGTAAATGGCGCACATCTCTTTCTGTGTGACATGTTTCCCTCGAGCGTGTGTTAGTGCATGTCGCTCTCGTTGTTATGTTACGTAACTCTTTTGAATTCATATACATACATGCAAGCATTCGTATATATACCGCTATATATGTCTATTATATATCTTCGTTGATCATCTTATAACAATGAAATCCTCATATGAATTTCTAATGTACGTGTTGTTGATGTCACTCTCTTGGATTGATGGTGGGATCTCCAATTCTATATTTTCTCCATGGTCCGAATCAAACGCACGAACAAAGATTGTGAACTATGATGTAGAGAACCGGAGATTTTTAACGTGGAATATAGGATCCATATAATAATTAATCACAACACGATTCAAGTAACACTTAATGTTTGTGTTTTCCGTTTTCTATTATTTGATACCAATCAATACACACGCGCATACACACACATAATTCTAATCTAATACAAATATTTCATGTATATATACCCCCCCCCCCCAAATAAAATAAATAAATAAACGGCATGTGAGTACGTTGATACAATATTGTTCTTTGGGCAAATACATTTGATTATGCTTTTATTCATGCCATACAATATTGTTAGAGATAAATTTTTCATGTAATTTCGTTTGGTTGTGTCTCAAAAGTAAATATCCGACGATGTTTCTTGCCGTTCGTAATTTGTTTACTTGCTTTCATGTTTGCATTTGTTGAGCTGTCGAGTAATTATTTTATTTATTTTTTATTTGTAGGTTTTCAAGTTCCATTTTGGAAAACCTTCGGGGCCACATAGAGGGTTTAGCATGTTAAGTGATTCTTAGGGTTCTCGAGGGGCCATTTTCGCCACAGGCAAGCATTCCATATATACGTACATACGCATTATGTTCCAAAATATTATATATTTGATGATTATATAAATCACACTATTATAAAACTTTCTACACTGATGAAACTACTATCTACGTACCCTCCTATAGTGTATATGCTTATATATATATATATATATATATATTAAGATTGTGAACAGAATTCTATTTTGGGTTTTGAATATAGTTATATATTTCTTTTAAATGTTGGGGTAACTGATCATTTTTGTGTTTTGAGATAGTTACATATATTTTTTTTGGACTATGAGATAACTATTCATTTTAAATTTGGAAATACTTTCATATATCTCATCTTTTATATATGAGGCCGTGTTTGTTGGAAAAACAACAGCAACAAATGTGTGCATTCTCTACTCGTGATTTTCTCACGATTTGAGTTTCCACATAAATCTCTATGTCATTTTACTCTTTTTTTTTTCCTTCCTTTTTCTCTTTATCGTTTATTCGTACCGGTCCATCCCAAAAATGGTATCGAACTTGAGATAAAACAGTTTGATCTATTAATTCCTTTGAATATATGATAATTATAAGCAACACTACCCGTTCATATACTTATTATGTAAACTTTGCATTCGAATCAAAACAACCACCTATTATATATATATATATATATATATAACAACCGCCTATATATATAGCCTATTTGTTGGAGGGGCGTAACCCTAAACGGGATATATGTGAGTATAAAATGTCAAGTGCATCTAGGGGATGAATTAAATAACAACGGAATAGATGTCATTAGATTTTTTGTACGTAGCCTTATCCCACCATTAAAAAAAGGCATTTGGTTCACAATAAATAAATAATAATAATAATAATTGAAATATATATGAGCTCGAAGAGAAAAAAAAAAGCATACTGTTATATTGTCATGATGATGATGATGTTCAATGTGCATGCTTATCTTCCGATATTGCATACAAATTTCTCTCCTTAGCGAATGGACCCACGCAATCTCTTGGCTTAGTAAAATTGTGTAGAGGAAGACGACTAGATAAAGGAGAAGCCAATGGTGATTTTATTGATTGTTAATTTGATTAATTTCGATTTGTTCAATACTAATGATATTATTAATAAAAAAAAGTAATTTCCGTTTCAATTTAAATAAATAAATAAATAATAATGGGAGGAGAAAAAACACGAGGAATTTGTGATGGTGGACTAAGGCTTACATTCTCCGTGGTCCAAAACTACCTCCATTTTCCAACCGACCGACCAATCGCATGTAGTCAATGTGTTGGATTTGGTACATAAAAATCTAACAATATTAACAGATATTAAAAATAAATTAATTTGATCGAAATACATATACACCGACTTGTGCATATTTTATCAATTAATTTCATCTTTATTACTACGTTTTATTAAAACAGATACGTGTATGAGATGTCTGTTTTTCCGTTGTTTATATATATATATATATATAATCTTATAAAGGTCAAGACTTTTTCCGTTGTTTATCAATCCATAATTGTGGTATCATTTTTATTTAATCACTCGATCGATTAATTAATTAATCAATTAATTGTATTCTTTTGCCTCCTTTTGCTGAAAATATTAGCTGGAGCTACGGCTAAAATTTTGAAAAACTTTCGATTTGTTGTTCATGAAAGTGACATTTGACTTTTCATATTTTTTTATTAATTTTCTAAAGAAACGATAATTTATCTTTTTTTTTTATTTCATTGAATCGTTTTTTTAGTAATTAAGCTTCTGTCACCGTCTTGTTAAATAATATGATGCATATTTATTTGGTTTGGTACTCGCCGTTTCTTACACAAAATCACTGGAGAGGAAAGATGCTCAAAAGATGTGGTAAGATGCGCATGGAAAATCCCCATCCCGGTTTGCCCCAACAAACCGAAACAAAATCGAGATCATCTTGGTTCGGTATTCACAAACCGAACACGTGAGAACACAAACTCTCTCTCTCTCTCTCTCTCTCTCTCTTGATTTTGATTTGAAGGGAAAAGGTGTTGGTGCAAGTTGGGGTTGGGGGGCTGCGAATGATAAGTTTATTAACAAACAACCATAACTTGTAGCATTCGGCTTGGGACGATCAAAACTCAGAAAAGATTTATACTGCAACATCTTCTCAAGTATCTTCTTGTCGGGTCTCATCAGATCTTATGTTCTTGTTCCTCTCCCCCCTCCACCTGTTTCTCTCCTATAAGTATCAGACTCCGACATTTGCCCTTTTTTTATCTCCTTGGTTCCCCAAAATTTGCCCCCCCCCCAAAAAAAAAAGAGAGCAGTGCTTCAGTTCCGTACCACAGCTTCTGACATATTCTCTGTACGAACATTTCCTCACGTGTCAATACACCGCCGCCATATCAGAATATGAGAACAAGACGCGGGAAACGCCCTGAGGTACGTTTTTTCAACTACGAATCTTCCGTAAAGTTCGGATCTTTCTGTGTTCACTTGCGATTGAATTTTCGATGACGATGACGATGATGATGATGAGAAACTTGTTCTTCGTTTGTTTGGGCAGCTGTTCTGGCCGTCGATTGTGATGAAGAAATGGCTGAACGTTAAGCCAAAATTTCATGACTTTAGCGAAGACGAAGTCGATACGGAGACGGAGAGCGAGGATGATGGTACGTTCTCTGTTTACGATCCAAATCCTTTCAGTTTTGGATCCATATTCAGAAATTCTGCACAATTCTCATGGATTGGACTTTTGGGCTTCTGGTGTTTTCGTCGTTAAAATTTGAGATTTTTTAAAATCTGACCAGCATGCTCAGTCAAAGATGCCTCTAACAGTCGCTGCGCCGTTGACGATGACGGCCGTGGCGTCAGAGTTCAAGAACTCGATCGGAATAGTCAAATTACAGGCAAAGATTCTGAATTTTTTTTTTTAATTTCTGTTGATTCGATCATTCAGAAACAACAAACACGAAATTTATAATCTTTCCTTTTCTGGGTTCTCTCTCTTTTTTCTTCAGACGGTGGCTCGAGAGGATACCAGCCGAGGCACCGGCGAGGCAAGTCGGAGACCTTGCGCGTTCAGTACATAAACACAAAGGACATCAGGTTCGTTTCTGTTTCTCCGGCGGGGGTATTTTGGGTATTTCATCTTTTCCCGGCGGCGGACGTGTTCTCTGAAGGGGGTTCTGTCTGAAACTGGTTTCTGCAGGGTGACGGTGGCGACATGGAACGTCGCCGGAAAACTGCCCTCCGACGATCTCGACATCGAACACTGGCTTTGTGCGGACGAACCTTCTGATATTTACATCATTGGGTAAGACGATTCACTTTGATCTTTCTGTGCTCCTTTCTCAGAACAGAATCCCGTATCCAGTAAACAAGATTGGTATGTGATTTGTCGGAATTCTTACAGATTCCAGGAAGTGGTTCCGTTGAATGCCGGAAACGTACTGGGAGCAGAGGATCGAGGTCCGATCCCGAAATGGGAATCAATCATTCGTAGAACTCTGAACAAATCCCACCAAGAGTCCCAACTCCAATCTCCCTGCAACAAAAACATTCTCCACAGATCTCAGAGCGCACCTCTAACTCCTGATCTGATACCGACAAATTCCGTGATCGCTGATGCCATCGTCGAGAATCTCGTCGCCGATCGTTCGCTCGACCTCGCCACTGATGAGTTCATTGATACCGCCCCCGCAGTGATCAGCCTCGAACCTGCAGAAAATCCGAATCTGGATTGGCCGGAACGACCACTGGATGAGAATCCTCAGATCATTTTGCCGGGGACTAAGCTCCGAAGAGTCTGGAGCAGTAACGCGAGGTTAGGGTTCTCTCTGTCGGAGAATTTGGCGGCGGGTAGGTTTGCTTCCAACGCAAGGAACATGAAACATTCTCGGAGCTTTGAAACCCTCCGATTGAGCTGGAGGGATATGAAAAAAGAGAATGATACGGCCGAGAAAGAACAAAGCCAAGAAGCTTTTTCAGATGATTCGGATGGAGAATCTACCTCGAGACCAGACGACCAGACAGAGGATACGTACGGATTGTCCGAATCTCCGTTCCATGAGTGTACGGGCAGAACCGCCGCCGAAAAACATCAAAAGTACGTACGGATAGTAAGCAAGCAGATGGTGGGGATATACGTATCGGTATGGGTCCGACGGAGACTGAGGAGACACATAAACAATCTAAGAGTCTCACCTGTCGGAATCGGTTTAATGGGTTACATGGGAAACAAGGTAAGATAAAACCGCGGGAGAGAAATAAAACCGAAAACCCTAACTTCCTTAACAAGTAATCAGAAACACTTGCGCTTTGTTGACGATATTTTCCTGATCGGAACAGGGATCGGTATCGATCAGCATGTCGTTGTACCAGTCGCGGATGTGCTTCGTCTGTTCGCACCTGACATCTGGTCAGAAAGATGGAGCCGAGCAGCGGCGAAACGCAGACGTATACGAGATCATACGCCGAACCCGCTTCGCCTCTGTTCTTGACACCGATCAACCAAGAACAATTCCATGCCACGAGTAAGACATATACTATATATAATCAAGCATCTGAAAAAAAGAAAAATGTTTTATAAATTCACAATTTCCTTACATTTGTTTTTTTTTTGTGTCTGGAAATTTTCACAGCCAAATATTCTGGTTTGGCGATTTGAACTATCGTCTTAACATGTCGGACTCGGAGGTTAGGAAACTCGCTTCTCAGCAACGATGGAATGAACTCATCAACAGTGATCAGGTCTTGCTTCTCGTTATGTCCTTTTTTTTTGCCATTTTCGCTGTACGAAATGTTTAATAACACGATTTCTGGAAATAAATATGCGTTTGTTATGTGTTACAGCTTATTAGAGAATTACGCACGGGGCATGTTTTCGATGGATGGAAAGAGGGTCAGATCAAATTCCCGCCCACGTATAAGTACGAATTCGAGTCCGATCGTTACGCCGATAGAGAAGGGGAGAAGAGGAGAGCTCCTGCGTGGTAAGATCCGATCTGAATCTCTCCGTTCTGACAGTAGAAAAGGGTGAAAAATCCGGAGAAGTGATCGCGTCTATGGATGGAAATCTGGACTAAATTGAACATTTTAGAAGTTACGGGCTTAAAAGGTGATTTATAGTTTATATCAGAGAATGACCGCGTTTAGAACTTTGGTGACCCTGAATAATGTATGATAACTGGAAAGTGACCCATGCATTTTGTTTAGATGCCTAAAAAGGACCGTATTTATCATATTGCTCCATTACACCCCCAAAATCATTTTCTAAAAAATTCATTTGCACATAGAAATAAACAAGCAATTGATTATTATTATTTTTTGTTAAATAAAATGCAGGTGTGATAGAGTATTGTGGTTAGGGAAAAACATAAAACAGATATGTTACAGGAGATCGGAGATGAGATTATCAGACCATCGACCGGTAACTTCGGTATTTGGGGTGGAAGTTGAAGTTTTCGATCACCGGAAACTTAAAAGGGCTCTCAACTTCAACAACGCTGCCGCCGCCGCCGTACATCCTGAGCCTCGTTTAGGGTTTAGGGTTTAGTTATAACGATTTTTATTTTTCTAAAATGAAGAATCTTTTGTTTTCTTTCGAAACTTTATATTTCGAGGTAAATCTAACAAAACATTAAACTGTAACAAAAAAGAGAGGGAAAAACACTGTATCATTGTTTTTGCTATATGGGTTCTCTTAGTTTTTTTTCGTTGGAGGTTTTATTCTGTTGTAATAGAAGATTGAATTATTTATTGTTTTCTGCCAAATTAACATTTTTCTACTGGGAAATTTAATTTTAATTATGATAAACTATATAATATGTACTTATCATCAATTCAATCAGATTATAATTATTTCATGCCCATCAATCATATGACCACTTCTCACCATTTTACCATTCAATTATGGCAAATTATAGCATCTCTAATAATTCACTATAAAAACAATTAAAATAAACTATAAATTACAAAGCTTTTTTTCTGGCGCCAAATTATATACAAGGCAGAAGAGAGAAAAGACTAATCCACAATCCAACACAAGAAACCAAGAGATGCAAAGAGTTTCAAGTTAAAATCACATGAAATCTCCTTGCTGACAGATCCCAATTGACTTTGTCTACTACAACCTTCTACTTTGTGGCAAGTGACAATAATGTTAAAAGAACACCACATCTCAAGAATCAATACAGAAATCTATCATTACACGACAAACCGTATCAGGTTTCTACCGTTTGATCTCAGGACCGAGGCTAAAACAAAACAGGGTTCTAACCTCTGCCCCGTTACGAGTTTTTTCGCCTCACACTAGTATCAATCTTCCTTGATGTTCGACGTATTGCTGGAGTTTCCCGTCAGAAGATACCATTAGGCCTCTGACTTTGGCAGGTCTTGCTCCGTTCTTCAATTCGAGCCTAAGTGTAGTATTGTTGTGATCCTCTCGGTTTGCCCATTGCTCTGGCAGGATTTCTTCCAGAAATTCATCTGCCACATCTCCGTCTTCATCAACTCTTAGCCGCTTGGAATACCATCTTAGACCCTGATCCAAAGAGTCACTATACATTAATGTCTTTCTTTTCAATTTAATGAATAGCAGAAAAGACACTGGATACAGGTTATCAAAACTAGTACTTGCAAATCGGAGGCAAGATATACACCAAGAGTTCAGTAGATAAATTTTTTATTCCCCGAAGGATACATGAGAATGAGAACAAAAAGAAAAATGACAGATAAACCGGTAACCAATCCAGCTTAAACAAGCAGGGTCGACGATGCACAGAAGCTCTTGATGTGGTCTATAAGACATGGAAAACAGAGATATACACATGAAGGCCACCGAATGATATTGGCTGAACCAACCCACTTGCTTCTTAGAATAGGACTGTAAACTTGCTCCCAACACAAAAACACATAGACACTCCAAGACTCGTCATGCCTAATTCAGCCTCACGATCAAATACCTCGGCCACCAAGATATGAGATTAGATTGTTTAAACCAATTTCTATGCAGACTGAAAGTTTCACCTAACATAGGGAACATCAATAAACAGGGAGCTGAGCGTTTGAAATAGTCTATTAGTATATAATTATTTTTTCAAAAATCTTGGCAAAATGAACCACAACTCCTTGAACTATGAAGAATAGTCCAAAAAGTAGCTATGCAGTGGAATCATTTCAAATATCATTGCAACATTTCGCACATAGCAAACTAGTAGACCTATGTCATGGTATTGAAAAACTTGTTCCATCAAGTTTGGTGTACCTGTTTACAAATCAGCTAAAGATATGAGAATGATACAGGTTAACACGAAAAGGATTAATTTCTCTCATTCACAAAGGAGAATGAAAGAGTAAAGAGTCACCACTAAGAAACCCAACTCACCAGTGCCGGACCATCTCGGGAACTAGATCCCGACCAACCATGATCAACCAGACACCGGTTTATGTAAAAGATCAGCAGTTGGATCGAACCTCGTACGTATTACGTAAAAGAGGAAGACAAGACAGATCCACCTTGACAGCACAGGCTAAGCCACACTAGCAACATCGAGTTGGGAACAGCCTAAAATATGATCTATGGATATAAATTTGTATCAAGCTCCAAACACGGCTTAACGAAAGCTGAACTTTTGTGGCTGGGATTCTCCTAACACGGCTTAACACCGAATTCAGAGAGCTGATGATCGAATGATTGCATTGTCCTACAGAAGCTGGAAACAGCAATCTGAACTACCACATTACATCCTTGATCTGAAACCGAGCCACAGCTCAGTACCAGAAGCAACCTAGAAGCCCAAAGAATGCTTACCATTGCATTTGCCCGAGTTCCATAGACCAATCACCATGATCAAATCAATCAGCAGAAAGGCCAGACGAATGGGGAAGAATAAAGACAAACCTGAACACCACCGTCTCCGGCGGTGCAAGGTAGGAGAACAGGACCGGGATTAGATCGTTCAACGGCAACTTGGACAGGAACACCGAAGCCTTTCCTCGGAAGCCCGGTTTCACGAAACCTTGGCTGATTGTCGGCACGCCGTTTATCTCCGTCGCCGGAGCCTGCTCCAGTACTATCTCCATCCTCCTCCTCGTCTTTCACCACCTCATGCCCACCATCGTCCCTCCCAAACCCTAGAATCCCCGCCAACTTCTTGAGAAACCCCATCAACCCCACAAATTAAACTCACCCCAATCTAATTCGGATCGAATCCTCTCTCAAAAGCTGCAAAGAAACACAGGAACTCTCACGGGATATCGGTCTTCCCAAAAAGTCGGGGACAAGAAAGGGAAATACGGTGACGGAGGATTAGGGTTCCAAATTCTCCTCGTGATCTCCTCCCCACATATTTCTACTTGATCTTAATAATCACGATCTGGTGCGTGCGAATCCGATGACCAATCCACGAATCCGTGTTCTCTCTGTTTTCGCACTTGCGTCTTGCGAGAACGTTTTCTCTGCTTCCAGTTAAAAAAGAAAAAAGAAGATAAAAATCCCTTTTGTGCAAATTGATAAACGTCATATATATAATAAATTAAAAAAAATTACAAAATCGCTTGCATCAACCCGGCCCATTTAGAAAAAGCCCACCCGCCTACGAATTCTCCTCTCCCTTTCTTTATCGTCTCCGGCACCGCGATCTCTCCGAGCCACCGTGTTTTGTCTCAGATCGCCGTCGACCAGTTTATTTCCCGGTAGAGTTTGTCGGAGATAGTCTCGATTTGTTCCGATCCGCCTGGATCGAAGATGCCGGTGGCTGCTTAAGCCATCTACTTCCTCAATCTCCGTGGGGACGTTCTCATCAATCGCCTCTACCGAGATGATGTCGAGTGAGAGCTTCTTCTTACTCTGTCTCCTCGAATTGTGAGTTTTTGTTGGAGTCTGGTTTGCGGAATTTGTCACTGTTGGGTCTTGTGTTTCTCCTCGAGCTGCAAATGTTTAGGGCTTTTGTTTGGGAAGAATGAACTACTATTTCTTCAAGTTTTATGGTTTTGAGTTTCTGTTTGATTTGATTGCAGGGGAAATATGGTGGATGCATTTCGGACGCATATAATGCTGACCAAGGAGTTAGGTAATTGCCCTGTTCGGCAGATTGGCGGATGCTCTTTTCTCTATATGCGAATCAGCAATGTCTACATTGTAATCGTCTTCAGCAGCAATGCTAATGTAACTTGTGCATTCAAATTCGTTGTCGAGGTATTTGATGTTATTTTCTCACTTTGGATCTGAAAGATTAGGGTTAGGGTTAGATTGTTAACTGAACCAACTTGCTCACTAGAGTTTTGAGCTAAGCTATTTGGTTTGGTTTGTATGAATGTCCTAGGAATTTATGTAAATAGCAGCTTAGATTTGAATATGCATCTGACCTCAATTACTGTTTTGGTTCACATGCAGGCTGTTGCTTTATTCAAATCATACTTTGGAGGAGCTTTTGATGAAGATGCTATTCGGAATAACTTTGTTTTGATTTATGAATTATTGGATGGCACACGTTATTTTCAAAGATCCAATCTTTTCAATAAAAATGCTCTTTTAGTTACTTTTATTTTTCTACAAAACCCAAGTTATTATCTTTGCAATGGAATTACAGAGATTGTGGAGTTTGGCTATCTGCAAAATCTCTCCCCTGAATTTTTAAAACTTTACATTACTCAAGAAGGTGTGCGGTCGCCATTTTCATCGAAGGTAAGTCCACTTCTTTCCATGTACATATGCAGACTTGAGATGGTGTTAGCAACTGATGCAAATTTTCAATTCAAGAATTAAGCATTATTTTGCTTCTAGCCTTTCATGCTTGTCCGTTGTTAAATTGCTTCTTATGTGTAAAAATTGTGAAACAGCCTACAGACAAGCCTGTTCCAAATGCAACATTACAAGTTACAGGTGCTGTTGGCTGGCGAAGAGAGGGCCTTTTTATAAAAAGAATGAGGTGATTCATGTTTTGTTGGGTTTTAGCTTCATTAAATATGCCCATATGCTAATATGATGCGTTCACTGCTGCAGGTATTTCTTGATATTGTGGAAAGTGTAAACCTTCTTATGTCCTCTAAAGGTGAATCATTAGTCTGTTGAGGTTTCTTTCTGATTACTTTTCATCCCGTTGTTTTATTTGATTGTTCTTGCATGATACAACAAGTGTAGGTAACGTTCTTCGGTGTGATGTAACTGGGAAGATTCTAATGAAGTGCTTTCTTTCGGGAATGCCTGATCTGAAGTTGGCTTTGAATGATAAAATTGGACTTGAGAAAGAATCAGAAATGAAATCTCGCCCAGCTAAGAGGTAAGATTTGTATAATAGTGTTCCATGTTTAGGCACTGTTTGCTTATTGGGTGCTCACTAACGTAATCTTTAAATGTGTAATTTTCTGCAGCGGTAAAACAATTGAGCTTGATGATGTTACATTTCACCAATGCGTCAATCTGACAAGATTTAACTCAGAGAAGACTGTTAGTGTTGTACCACCAGATGGTTAATTTGAACTAATGAAGTAAGTCCGAGATAGTCTTTCACAATTTCCTATTTATGTATCTCGTTCTAATGATTCTTTCACCAAACATGATCGAGTTTCCAATCAACTATAAGAATATCCATTTGGTATATTATACGTGACCCATCTTAGGTTCAATTGATAATTTTGAGTAGAACGAGATCTCTACCTGGTCGGCAAGTGTTGTGATTTCATATCGATGTTCCTCTGCATGATGCGATCCACAGTGTGTTAATTTTCTTTAATTGTTTCGTGCCTCAGGTATCAAATAACAGAGGGTGTCAATCTGCCTTTTCGTGTATTTCCCACAATCAAGGAACTTGGCCGTACACGCATGGAAGTAAATGTCAATGTACGTAGCTGCCCTTATTTGAAAACCTGTTTCTTAGATACATGCCTTCTTTTACAATTGGTCTCTCATATATTTCGTACTTTCCAGGTCAAGTGTCTTTGGTGTTAAAATGTTTGCTCTTGGGGTTGTAGTCAAAATCCCAGTGCCAACACAAACAGCAAAAACAAATTTCCAAGTGACATCTGGTCGTGCTAAGTACAATCCAGCAATCAATTGCTTGGTCTGGAAGTAAGTTTACCCTAAAAAACTTATTTAAGAAAAAAAAGATTCATAACCCTTGTTATGTTGGGCATCGATTCTTTGATGTATTCTACCGGTCTGCATAGCTATTTACACTTACCATTTCATTAGGATAAGAAAGTTTTCTGGACAGGCAGAGTCCACTCTAAGTGCAGAAGTTGAGTTGATCTCCACAATGACGGAAAAGAAATCTTGGACAAGGCCTCCAGTTCAGATGGAATTCTAGGTCAGTGGCCATCTTCTTTTAGCCCCATTTCATAGATTGTAAGGAAAAAAAAATCTAAAACTGTTTACACTTATCAGGTGCCCATGTTCACAGCTTCTGGTTTGCGGGTTCGTTTTCTCAAGGTATGGATTGGAATATGCTATAAGTGAATTTCTGAATCCGGACAGTAAGCAATTCAACTGTTTGGATCATAGAATCTGTCTTAAAACCGATTAGTATTTATCGATAGGAATTTGAACATGGAGTTTTGTACATTCTTGACAGGTATGGGAGAAGAGTGGATACAACACGGTCAAGTGGGTTCGATACATAACAAAAGCCGGTTCATACGAAATCAGATGCTGAATTACTGAAAAGGGTTTTCCTTCTTTTCTCCATCTCCGGTCACCGGTACGTCGTCACTTGTCACATGTGTCCGGCTTACGCCTTGGCCTGGCTTCTTAGTTGAAAGAATGCCCTTTTTAACTTTCATGCATTGGCTGGCAGCTTCTGTTCCTTGCAAAAAAGATTGACCTGCAAGTGAAAAGTCGTCTATGCCCTTCTGTGATATATATCTAATCTGGGTGTTAATATTATGATTTATATGATGTCTAAATGTTGATATTAAATGTGAGTTTGGTATTCCATGGTAGGTTTCGTCATAAATTTCTCACTGGTGGTTATACGTTTTACATTTAGAATCTTCATACATTATATATATATATATGTTAAATGAAAGATGAATTATGAGAAAAGAATGGAGAAATGGTCAAATAAAGCTAGAGTCATTTTCATCAAAGCAGAAATTGTTTAAAAGATCTGAGGGTGTGCTTAAAATCTGACACAACACAAAGTACAACAGACCCATGTTGGTTCATAACACAGCCTGTTGGATTTCCCCAGCAGTCAACACCCAAATCTTAAGACTATATATATGTATGTATGTATATGTTTTGGTGGAATAACAAAAGAAAATAAATGGTTTTAAAAATCAGCAGATTTTGGAAGATAAAAGACGGCTTCCGTTTGAAGATTAGCAGCTAGCAGAGAACACATTTGCTAACAAATTGTATTTGATATACAAAACAAAATATATATTAATATTATTGTGTAATAAGCGTTTATACATTGAATCTTGATTGTTATTTCTTCGATCAAAAGAAAAAGATAAATTAAATAGAGAGTGCTAGGAGAGAGGACAAAATGAGATGGAAGTGGGAAATGGACTGAAACATCGTTGAAAGCCAAACTCTCCCCTCCTTGTAAGAAAACCCCAACCCTAGTTGTTAATGCTTTTTATTAAAATCTCATATCATTTGTTTCGTTTATAATAAAAATAAAAATTTAATTTTTAGACATACAACACAGTCATCTCTCTCTCTCTCTCTCTCTCTCTCTCTCTCTCTCTCTCTCTCTCTGAGAGCGCTACAGAGAGAGTGGTTAGCTCACACGCTTTGGCTTAAAACTCAAAATCCTGCATTTTCTCGGTCTATTTTCTCGGCATCCAAACAGAAAAAAAGGGGTCATAAGGAAAAAATCTTCCGGAAGAATTCTTCTTCCTTGGCTTATGGATTCCAGAGAAGTTCCACCGCCGCAGCCGCAGCAGCAGCAGCAGCAGCTGCAACCACCCCCCGCCATGTTAATGGCCCACAACCCCTTCCACACTAGCAGAAACCCTAACGCTGCCGCCATGATCGGCCCTGCTTCCACATCTCCCGCGATCCACCACTCCTCCGCTTCCGGCGCCGGAGTCCGCCTGCCCTTCGGCTCCCTCCAGCACTCTCACCAGCACCAGTCTCAGCCTCCTCCTCCGCCGCCGCCGCAGATGGAGCAGAAGGTGCTCGATTCCCTCGGATTCGACGGATCGCCTTCCTCCGCCGCCGCCCAACACTCGATGCGCTTCGGAATCGAACAGCAGACGAAGAAGAAGCGAGGCCGCCCGAGGAAGTACGCTCCCGATGGCAACATTGCCCTCGGTTTGGCTCCCACTTCCCCTCTCCCTTCTGCTTCCAATTCTTACGGCGGGCCCCCGTGATGGCGGCGGATCCAACGCCAACTCCGCCGATACACCTGCTAAACGCAACAGGGGACGTCCTCCTGGCTCCGGCAAGAAGCAGCTCGACGCATTAGGTAAAACAAATCGATCTCCCTCTCTGAATATGAATCAATTTCGATATAACCCACTCGCTTCTCGTTACATGCATTTGAATGGGTTTGATTATCTGCTCTGTTTTTTTCTTTTTCTTGGAGCAGGAGGAACAGGAGGGGTAGGGTTTACACCTCATGTAATTGAGGTCAAGACAGGGGAGGTATGTTCTTTTCACTGTTTCCATTCTGATCTCAGTGTTTGGTTGTTCCGTTATTTTGCTCATCTCTGAGTCTGGAATCTATCAAGTGATAGCGGATGAGTGAAAATGCTCTACATTTTGTGATGAACATTGAAATCTTTTCTTGCCGTTCGTATTGGTAATCCTCTAAATTTCATTGTTGACGTTCCATTCTATCAGAGGATGAATTGCTTTCTGGTGTGATGTTGATGAAAAGTTAAGAAATTTCTTCTTACCTTTCAGGACATAGCATCAAAGGTTATGGCTTTCTCACAGCAAGGACCTCGTGCAATCTGTATTCTCTCTGCAACTGGAGCTGTCTGTAGTGTGACTCTTCGCCAGGCTACCAATTCTAATGGTGTCGTTACATATGAGGTCCATTCCTTATCCTTTGTATTGTCTATATATGCATCCAGAATGCACTAATCTTTCTGGTTTTCACTGACTTCTGTCTTGTGCTTAGAAAAGAATGCTTGTCATATAAACCGGTATTTGTTTTAAAGTTAGCATTTTGATAAGCAAAGCTATTACCTCGAGACAGAGATCTAGTAGAGAAACATTCATCCTTATGATTTAGTAGAAGAACAGTTGTCCTGTAAAGTTTTGTACAGTAACCGGAACAAGCATTATGTTTAATCTTGTTCTCTGTTTCCAGATAAACTGATAATCTTGCCAGATTGCTTATTCAAATGAATTCTGATATTACATTGATGTTTCACATCATACAGGGTAGATTCGAGATCATATCACTGTCAGGATCATTCTTGAATTCAGAAAGCAATGGAACTGTCAACAGAACCGGTAGCTTGAGTGTATCATTAGCTGGCCCTGATGGCCGGATTTTGGGAGGCGGTGTAGCCGGAATGCTAGTAGCCGGATCAAAAGTTCAGGTATTCGCCCTTACCCGAGAGAAATATTAAAAAAAAAAAGAAACCGGTATCATATCTTACTCTATCCATTATAGAAACCAAAAATATCAGCTCTGATGCATTCTTTCCCATCGTGCTGGTTTAGGTGATTGTTGGGAGCTTTGTACCAGATGGAAGGAAACAGAAACAAAGTGGAAATGCCCGAGGATCGAATCCCGAACCAGCCTCTGCACCATCAGGCAACACATTGAACTTTGGGGGAGGAACTGCGAGTGGAATGCAGAGGAGCCCGAGATCGCAGGGGCAATCGAGCGGGTCGTCGGAGGAGAATGACAGCGGATCATCTCCGATGCGCAGAAGCAGCATCAATCACGGGGGGATGTACGGTGGTAACTCAGCCGCTGCCCAACAATCTCTTCCCCACCCTATGCACATGTACCATCTATGGGGCCACAATCCTCAATAAAACCCTTTCCCCCAAACCAAAAAAAAAAGGTATCCGCTCGTTCGGAAATTTGTGAGAGGTTTGCTTCCTATGTTCCTAACACGCTTCTAAACTCTTTTTTGGTATTTTTTTAGCTTTAATTTTAGATGAATAGAGAGATGTTAGTATGAATCAGTTGGCTTTAGGCTTAGCTTTTGTTTTGTTTTTTTGGGTTCATTTATGTTTTCTGTGTTTGTTTCATGTGGACTCCTCCTTACTATAAGCCATAACGAGTATCCTGTTTTGCCCGTTTGGTTATTGAGTTTCATTTCGAGATACGACAATATGCAAGCCCCGTATGTTCATCTTGAGTTTCAGATCAAATGGCTCCGTATGTTCATTCTTCTTTTACAAAGACCCTGAGTCTCTCTTCTCCGTATGTGAAATCGAAGGCCGCATAGACACTATCATATACAATACTGGAGAGAGACACACAACAAAGGCAAACCCTTTCTTCATCATCTTCGGTGTCATCTGCCTTGCCTCCCACGTGAAAAATGTGCAGATGATCCTAGAACCGTACGTACTGCAACAAAACCCAGATTCCGACCACAAAATTTTCACCTGGTCTGAATACAATCAAACCAAAACTGATCTGGGTCTTGTTTTTTTTTTTTTTTTTTTTTTGGGCCTCTGATGAGTTTGGCGTCTGATCATGGTTGGTTTTCTGTTCAACAGCACACAGTTCAAAAGCACTAAAAAGTTACGGCCACCTAGAGACGAAGCTGTAAAATGTATCCATGGCATCGCTCCTTCCATCGTAATGGTGGGACCCCCTTACGGAAACCCCTTACACGAAAATGACGGAAACACCCTTCCCGTTCTACATCGGAGAGTCAAACTCGATATATCAGTTAAAGCCTCCGGCTTTGTTTCCATCCTTCTTGCATTGTTTCAATGGATTCTCTCCCGAAGCAGACACTGATGAACCCGAACAAGCATCTCAAAGAACAGTTAACCTTCTTCTCTCCTCTCTCGTCTCCGTTCATCTGAACTCTCCGGTTGTCTGATTCGAGATTTTTCATCTTCGGTTTTTTGTTCGAATCGCGTTGGGTTGTGCAGATTCGTCAGCAATCTGGATGGATCCTCGATGCTGGAAGTCGCCGCACTTTTGACCATTGTACCCGTAAGTTCTGCCCTAATTCTCTCCGATTTTGTCTTCTCTCATGATCTCCGATGATGGCGTCGCGGTTTCTGCTTCAGGTTTTGGTTCTTCTTCGCTACTCGATTGGTTCCCACCTGAAAATCGGTTCGTCACTCGTTCCTTCTCTCATTTCATCTCCCCTGTTTCTGGGAATGGGACATTGTTGTATTCTGTCCGAACGCTCGAGTTTAAGAGCGATTCTCGATTTTGAGCGGATAAATGGGTGTAGAATCACGAAATATTCTGATTCCGAAGATCTGAAAATCACCCAATATGGTTACAAATTGAAGTAAAACGAGACGAATTCATCATGAATCATCAAATTATGGGTATTGTGCTGCTGGTTCTTTTGTTAAATTAGTCTAAGACCCTTCTTTTTTTGGTCATAGATGATTATGGCAGAGACATCTCTTCCAAGAAAAACGATGATAGAAATGTCGTTTCCAGGAGTTGGAGTGCTTACGGACATGCTTTATCCTTGGATTTCTTCTTCATTGTCCTTCCCATGCTTTTGTTTTTCACTGTATGCCTTCGCATTCTCTGCCTGAGATCACAGTTTTGTCTCACAAGTCTTATATAATGTGGCTCCTATGCCTCGGGTTTATACTCGAGTTTCGGTTTTTTCTTGCTCTGTATAATCAACGAATGCTTGTTACAGGTGCTATCTGACTGGATCTACTCGGGGGCAATTTTGTTGTCGACGATGCTGATTCTTTCCGTGATTTCCAAAAGGTAGAAGTTTTAAAAGTCATGCATTTTCTCAATATTCACTTTCAGGACCGAGGTTTGTTTTGGTTAACTTGTTGAACTTTCGATGTAAGATTTATTGAGAACGAGTGACTTGGAGACTCTGACCGAGGCTTTAGAACTTCAATTCAATTCTAGGTCTTATCCTAGGTTGACGGTTGGACCACCTTTCTCGTTCAGAGCAAGCATATCGTCGTATAGAGTTGCTCTGGTAAAGAACCATACTTATGCCTTAGTTGATATATATACTAGCCCGGTATGATCCGTTTACTGAAGGGTTTCTCTCGCAGATGTTAATTACATGTTTGTGTATCTTGGCTGTGGACTTCACTATTTTCCCGAGAAGGTACGCCAAGACAGAGACTTATGGTACTAGCTTGGTATGGTTTTGATTTGTATTATCATACTCAATGACATTTGTTTTTGCTTCTCTGCTCATTTGCTTCAAACAAATCCAGGATTGATTTTCTTATTTTGATGAGTAACTTTGTACAATTGTGATGACTGCCAACTCAAAATCAGATGGATCTTGGAGTCGGCTCCTTTGTGCTGGCAAATGCCGTAGTTTCACGGGAAGCTCGAGATATCTCATCAGTGTGGGTGGTTTTTCTTGTTACTGATTTTATGATGTTGCTTCGAATTCACAGTATTATGTGTGAATGCATCTCTATTCAGTTTCTTTAACGCTCTATATAATGTTAAATTTCGGCAAAAATCTTCTTTCTTAATTAGCTCTATGATGAAAAAACGATTTATGGTATTCTTCTGAATTTTGTCAAATTGCTGCAGGAACTGGATAACTGGACTTAAAGCAACCACTCCTCTATTTTTGCTTGGGTTTATTCGTTTAGTTACTACTAGAGGCGTGGATTATCAGGTAGGGACTAGAGAGACATCTTTCTAACGATAGAAAATTTCGTAACAGATATGTCCACTGAAGATGCTGCAAAATGTAACATCTGACGTAACGAGAAATTCTCGTAACCTAACCGACTGATGCTTCTTCTGGCTATACAAATACAATGTTAAATCATGGTCCCAACTCATTGCAGGTCCATGTTACGGAATACGGAGTTCACTGGAATTTCTTTTTCACACTTGCAGCCATCTCGGTTCTCACATCATTTTGCCACATTCCGGCCAAGCACTCTGGAATCATTGGTTTTGCTGTTCTTATTGGTGAGTATATTCTTCTAGCTTCACCTATTTTTTTTTTTGTTCCAAAGGGAATTACGGGATAATGGACTCAGTCGACCTAAGTATCTTCACCTTCTTAACTCTTAGGGTACCAAACTTGGTTGGTTAATGGGCTGAATACATATCTGCTTTCGGATGAAAGAGGAGCCGACATCATCAGCCAGAACAAGGAAGGAGTCTTCAGCATTTTCGGTAATGTCCGATTTGATATGTTATACGGCTTCCTGTTCCTTTGTCATGCCATATGCCATACTCATGATCAATTCAAATACTATAAGCAAATACATATTTGATTTGTATGATGACATATTTACTATTTTCAGGATATTGGGGGATGTACCTTCTTGGTGTTCATTTAGGCTACCATCTCTTCTACACGAAAAAGACGTCTATTAGTAGGAGCAGTACGAGGGCAATCGCTAGGGTCTTTCTCGTCTCGTTTCTGTTGTGGTAATTATGCTCGTTTTCGATATATCGCGCCCCATAGTAATAACAGGGGGGCTTGTGACCTACTACGGGAAATTTTACATCAAAGTTCACGACTTCCTAACACTTCCCTTAGATGTGTTTGTACGCAGGGTCTTGACTATACTTCTGGACAACTATGTCGAGAGAATTTCTCGCCGTTTGGTATATAGTTTCTTCCTCCTCTAGCTTCTCGGTATAATAACTCGAATCAGAATGTTGGATTTGGAACCGAGAATAATAACCGGAAACGTCCAATGCAGTGCAACATGCCTTACGTTACTTGGGTTCTTGCCCAAAATCTTCAGGTCATCCCCTCATTCTCTTCTAGTTTATGCATGAATGCATATCAATGTATTGGAATTTGACCGAGATTTTTTTTTTTTTTTTTTTTTTCCAAAATTTTTCGGGCAGTAGGGATATTTATGCTGTCTGCATATATCCCTGCAAGTGGACTTTCATCGCTGGAAGAAGCATTCGACCGAAACCTGTTGCCTACATTTCTGCTTGTAAGCTGCGTACATGAATAAAGTATTCGATTAATTCTCTTTGGAGCGGAACCCTTAACCAATTCTTTTTTTTTTTTGGTCGTGAATAAAACGCAGGCAAATGTTCTTACGGGAGTGGTGAACCTCTGGGTGGATACCATCTTCATCTCGCCAGCCCCATCCCTCGTGATAATGATCGCTTACGCATTTGCCTTATCCGCTGCAATGGGAGCCGTTCATTTCTCCGGCGTCCGATTAAAGTTTTGGTAAACATCCTCGGACCCTCTATTGGTCCAAACCACAGTTTAAGACGGAGAGCCGTTTGGTTATAGATATTACAACCGTTTAGACCAAACTTCAAGACACATTGTTCTTTTTGGGCCCTCAACTTGTGTTACGGTGTTTGGAAAAAGATTATCCATTTTCCCTTTTGGAGCTTTCTTGCATCACGGAGATGTATACATGGATCTTGTAAGTATATGGCGCACACACGATAAATCATATATAAAATATTGATTCACATAACCAACAAAAAATCATTACACTATAAGTCCCATGATAGAGTTAAAACGCTTTACAGTAAAATCATGTACTTTGAGAATCTATTGGAGATGTTAAAAAATCTATGATATCAGCTCAGATCCATTATTTATTCTAATTTGTTAAAAAATCTGAAAAATTCCAAAAAAAAAATGTCTAAAACAAATCAAATAACTTAATTGGGGCTCCGACAAGATTATGAATCAGGTTTTCACAACCCATTAGCTACACACATCAGGGCGAGTTCCTATATCATCGGATCAGAGAGTGCAGCCATTGCCATGAACGCCGCCATGGAAGCCCACAAGAGCCTCATCTTCGTCTACGGGACGCTGAAAACAAATCATCCGAACCACTTCCTCATGGAGGATCTGATCACGAGAAACGACGCCGTCTTCGTCGGCCACCGCGCGACCCGTTCGCCCCACCCGCTCGTGGTGGGTCTGCACGGGATTCCATACATGATCAACCTACCGGGGTCGGGTCATCGGGTCAGGGGCGAACTCTACGCTGTCTCAAAACGCGGGCTCGCTCGGCTCGACGAACTGGAAGGGATAGAGGTCGGGCACTACGAGAGACTCCCGATTGAGGTGGCGGCGGCGACGGTGACGGAGGAAGAGGGATCAGACGGCATCGTTGCGGCGGAAGCGTACTTTGCTCACCGGAGATTCGGGGAGAGGCTGTGGGAGAAGAAGGGGAGATGTGGGATGATCGAGTACGGTCAAAACGACGGCGTACGGTACGTTAGGCCGAGGGACAGGCCGAGATCTGGCTCTGTTCTTGATGAAATCGAGGGTTTTGTCTCTTCTCGTTCCGATTGATTTCGTCTTGTCCCCCCTTGGATTCATGTTTCTCAGGTTTTTACCGTATATGGGTATTCCCCAAAATCTGAAATTGGTGACATTTTCAGGATTGAAATTGTTGTAACGCAATGTCTTATCAATCGGAATCGAACGTTGATATGATCATCTGGTGATAGTTTGGGATTTCAATCTCGTTGTGCATGATTGTGTCGGAGGCTTATGAAATTTCATATGATTCTGAAAAATCGTCGTAATATTTTGAAGATTGTGGCTTCTATCTTGATCGAGTTTATGAACATAACACCGCCTTCAAAAAAAAAAACACGACAAAGATTTAGATTATGGACACATGACTCAGAAACCAGACGCCGTGACATGAACCTGAAACCAAGAAGCTCAACTTCTGATGTTGTTCATGCTTATGCTTAGTTCTCGCTACTTGTTAGTATTTTGTTCCAATTCAGAATCCGACAAGAAGAAGAAAGAATTGTATGGCTTGTGAGCGTCACTGTACGTAAGTGGTGGGAAGAAGAGATTCTTTTGGGACTGTATTATAATGTGCCTAAGCCTACAACGCACGCTTTTGCTTTTTTGGGAACCCTAGAGTCTAGTAGCACTCATCACGCTTTTGTTATCGCCATTGAAGCCCCTGGACCAAAACCTCTGCTAATCCACAGTCGCCATCTTCCTACGCACATGCTCTTACATCTTTATCCACCACCACCCCCCCCCCCCCTTTT